ATTAATAGACAAACAGGGCTAAGTGTGCACTACTTTCCAAAGGTATTTTCATAGTGACTTTACAAATATTTTTTAATATGAGAATCTCTATTATTATTATCACTATTATTTTGGCGATATTAGGGATTGAAACTAGGGTTGCTTCAACACTGTACTACATTCCCAATTTCTTATTTATTATTTTACTTTATTTTTATTTTTTGGTACCAAGGATTGAACTCAAGGACACTCGACCACTGAGCCACATCCCCAGCCCTATTTTGTATTTTATTTAGAGACAGGGTCTTACAGAGTTGCTTAGTGCCTCACTGTTGCTGAGGCTGGCTTTGAACCCTTGATCCTCTTGTCTTAGCCTCCCGAGCTGCTGAGATTGCCCCAATTTTTTATTTTTGAGATTGAGTCTAAGTTGTCCATGCTGACTTCAAACTTGTGATCCTCCTGCCTCAGCCTCCCAAGTAACTGGAATTATAGGCATGTGCCACTGTTCAGGGCCAGCACCAGGATTTTCAAGCACCCAGGGAAATAACTGACCCCAAAAAATTTTGTTTAAGGATAGGCTTTTCCTATTTCTGTTTTCATAGAACACAGCCAGTCACTGCTCCATTAGGCTGCTCTTGATTGGTTGTTTATTAACTTCCCCAAGTTCATCCATTGTCCATTTTAGCTTCATCAAGTTCGTCCATTGTCCATTTTAGCTGAAATTCACCCTCTTCTAGATCTAGGCAGTTGTCATTACTGCTGTCCCTCCTCACTGAGGATAACATTAGGATGCACTGGAAAGAACCTAGATTTTAGAGCCAAGCAGACTTGAGTTCCTGACTCAAATCCCCCACTTACTAACCTGACAACTTTGGCAAGTTGTTAATTTTTTGAGGTTTGTTTCCTCATCTGTAAAATGGAAATTTATCACCCTTCATTACAGATTGAATAAGACCACAGGTACAGTTGTTTCATACAGTAGTTATCTTTCAAGATACCTACCAGTAGTTCTTTGAATCATAGTTTCTTAACAAAATATAGTGTGACAGTTGTAGTAAATATGACTAACTTACTTGTTACTTAACTTCTTGTTTTTTGGTAATGATTACTTCAGTTTGTATCGCAGAATAGCAAGTCACAGTCTACCTATTTGCTTTAGGTGCTAGAAAACTCAGAAAGCTATTTGGAATTCATTTTTTTTTTTTTTACTTTTTATGGATTACTTAGTATTCCTATCCTGGGAAGCTTAAAAATGAGTGAAAAATGAAAAACTTGAATGTCAATACTATTTTTCCCATTGAGATCAAGAATTGTGTCCACATTCCGATTTTGAGTATAAAGGCTAGTCTCACTTTTAAATAGTAAAAACATTTAATTTTCGTACTCATCCATTGAGAATATTCACTATAAAATAAGGCTCACTCTAAAGAAGTCTTCCTAAGTAACAAATCTAAAATTTCCATCCTTCTTGACAATTCCAAAGGATCCAAAAATATTCATGAATGCTTAATCTAGCAAAATATTGTATTCTTATATATACTGGATTAAAGCACACATTAGGGGAAAATACCATTTATTGATTTCTCAAGTGAATCAGGAAGGGAAAATAAACTTGAATAAAACTGTCACAGTTTAGTCCACACAAGCAGGGTCTTGAGAAACATGGTCAATGTTTTGAATCCTTGGTCTTCTCCAAAACTCATGTGATGGAAAGTTAATCTCTAATGCAATGGTGTTGGGAGGTGGGCCTAATAGGAGATATTTGGGTCATTAATGCCACTATAAAAAGGGCTTCTAGCAGTGGGTTTTTTTTTTAGCACTCTTCTATCACATGAGGATAGAGAGTTCTCCTATTTGCTCTTCTGCTTCCTGCTTTCTGCAGATGATATATTGATCTTGGACTTCTCAATACATTTTTGCCTATTATAAATTATTTGGTTCCAGATATTTTTATCAAAGCACAAAATGGACTGAGAATGCATGGGTAGAAACAGACTAGACCAAGAAACATAAAATATAAGGTGGCCTGGGGTTGATGTATTGACATGAGTACACTCACCTAAGCTTAACACAGTGATTCTCAACCTTGGCAGCACATTGGAACCTCCTTTGAAAATTACTAATGATGCTAAGATCCATTCACAGAGAATCTGATTTCATTTTTCTGGAGTGTGATCAGAGCATCACAAAATTTTAAATTGCTCCAGATGTTTCTAATAACCCCTAAGGGTAAGGACTACTGCAGAACAGTTTCCTTACCTGGTTAAAGGAGCCAGTAAATGAGGCTAAAATACCACAACTGTCCTTGAAAGAACAAGGAGTCCAAAAGCTTAGAGAGATTGAATTGTTAGAATGGATCTATTATGTGCAACCTGTGTAACCACCTCTACTTTCTTTCCCACCTCTTCCCTGACTCAGAAAGATCCCACGAAGCTTCCCCAAATAAGAAATGCCCTGGTGAGAGAAAAATCATCATTCTTAGAAAGCTGTCCAGAGATGCATGGTTGTCTCTGTATCAGAGACAGGGGGACAAAGAATACTGCTATGGAATTGGCTCCTAATTTCAATGGCAATAATGGAATTGAGGTGTGGAGACTTGGAGGGAGTAATTACCATAATAGGCTGCAGAAACAGGGGACAGTGATCAGAATGTCAGACCTGCAGGAATCTGTAGTGGTGACTTGTACATCTCAGCGCTCTTTTTAGAACAGGAAAGATAAGCAGGTTTCCAGGGTTTGGGCTAATCCACGTGTATGGGAAAATTCCATATGTAACCCTTAGGAACCAGCTAGTTCATTTGGAGAAATGTATAGATACCTTCTCTCACCAGCAACCCTATCAGATATGCCAGAATCTGCAAAGAGCAAGCAGAGGGCATTGTTTGAAAAAAATCTCCAAGTGACACCGCTATGATCTTTTTCACCTCTTTCATATTGAGAGCAAGAGGGTTAAATGATTTTTATTTAGGGCCTTTTTATGTCTAAGAGTCCACAACCTTATGATAATACTAATCTGGTATCAATCAAAATCCATCAGTAATTTTTCTCTGATATCCAGGAAATACCAAATTATTTTCCCTGGCATTCAATCTCCTGTGCAATAGGACCTAATGCTATCATTCCCATCTCTTCTTTCGGTAGTCTTTCAGGTGCTCCTCAGCCATTGTCATTCATGACATGTGTGAAAAATGATATTTGTCTGACAATCTAGGGTGAGTGGTCAGAGATGACCACAGCTGAAGGTGGCTCCCCCAAAGGCTCTCACAGCCCCAGTACCTTTCAGGACATCACAAAGACTGTGGGTTTCAATGTCTCACATACCTGTTTCCATCCAGCCCACTCTTGTTTGCTTCACTCAGGAGAGTACTGCTGGTTGTGCAGTTCTGTGGACACACAGAAATCCTTCTGTCCATTCTTATCCATTTCTAGTTCTATAAAAAAAGCTTTACTCACTATCAGCTCAACATCTTTGCTTTCCCATTTCCTGTACCCTACTTCATGCCTCTCTGTCACATCCTCTGTTAAGCAGTGGGAACTCCAAGTCTTCCAAGAAGCCTTCCCCAACCAACTCACCCCATAGTGGGATTCCTAGTGTGTGTTCCCTGGAGAGTTCCCTTGATATTGAATGGCAACCTGTCTTGAATCACAACTACATTTAATATGACTTTACACATTACCAGGTCATGGCTCCAGGAACTCAACAGTTTTAAGGAGGCACTGCCAACATACTTTGGACATTGACAGGGAAAGAATTCATTGGAGTGAGAACAAGCCCAAGCAGAAGAGGGAATGGCAGATGCCAAGAACTAGTGCAGAAGACTTTTCTGCAAACTACCTTAAGGCATTCCTGGGGATTTCCACACCGTCAGCAACAGCTTCTGACATGCAGCAGTGGTTGTGACATTTCCAGCCCAAAGTGGGATTGTTTGGGAAGCATGATCTATTAGTCTGTTTTCTGTCACTATAACTGAAAACTATAAACTGGGTGATTTAAAAAGAAGAGGGGTTTATTTAGCTCACAGTTCTGGAAGTACAAGTGTATAAAATAAGTAAGAAATAAGTGCCTGTCTCTGGCATTTGCTTTGCATCTGGCGAGGGCCTTTTTTCTGGGTCAAAACACAACAGAAAACATCACAATGTGAGATAGCACATGTGCTGGCTTGGCTCTCATTCTCTTCCTCTTCTTATAAAGCCACACATGCAATCATAGGGCTCCACCCTTATGACTTCATCTATTCCAATTTACCTCCTAAAGGCCCCAATTCCAGATATTTTAGTTAGATTAAGTTTCCTTCTTCTTAATATCCCACAATGGGGATTAAATGTCAACATGAGTTTTGGTGGAAACATCTAAATCATAGCACATGGTTTTGAGCTTCTCGAAATGAGAAAGCCATATCTCTTAGATCTTCAAGAGTATGTGCACAATGAATCTATAAAAAACTCACTAGATATTGCATAAGCTTAATTTAAATGAACCTGGGAGAGAGCTTATGTTAATTAACATTTCTAGTACACAAAGAAACAAAAGATATGACTAAATTAAACAAAAGAAAGAAGTTTGTGAAAAAAAAAAAAGAAGAAGAAGAAGAAGAAAGAAAGTAAAAACTGGAAAGTGCAAGTCCTTGAAGGGAAGGATAAATAGCCAGGCCTCAAGAGGGCAAAAGCTAGGAGCTGGTAGAATCCTTTGGCCACTGTTGCAACTAGCTCTCAGCACCTGGATAGCCAGCCACACAAGATCCCAATTCCCAGGAGACAGTCTCTCCGCTCTAACCTGGTGAGGTAGAGGAGGGCTAAAGTCACATGGATGGGGGATACTGCATGTCCCCAATGTAGAGATGAGGAACAGAAAAAAAAGGAGTAATTGCCTACCATGATGTTCAAGAACTCTATTTGATGAACTCTGTGATTCACTAATATTGCATCTTACTTTTTAGTTTGCAAAACAATTTATAGACATTTATCTAATCTAATTTTATTTTCAAATGTGTAAGCTAGATTTTGTTTATGTTCTCCTTTCAGACATGAGGAAGCTGAGTCTCAGAAAAGACCCACTTGGCACAAGAACTGAAATGCTATTCTTCTGAGTATCAACTCCAAGTTTGTTTTGGTCAGCTTTTTCGCTGCTGTGACTAAAGGACCCAACCAGCACAATTGTAGAGGAGGAAAAGTTTATTTGAGTGCCGCAGTCCGGGGGGGGGGGGGGGGACGAATAACTTGTGTACTTTGATACAGCAGGAGCAGGAGCCGTTTATTGTAGGACAGGAGCAGTATTTATACATTCCACACAGCTTATCTAATTAGCATAAACTAGATACATCAGTCAACCAATAAGGAATCTCCACACTTAATGGCTCTCTGGCGTTACTTCACAAACCACTCCCTCTGGCATTTTGCCAGGCGCCATCCAGACTTGTTTACAGACTCTAACATTTGAGGGCTCATGGTTTCAGAGGTCTTCATCCATACAAGGTCAGCTCCATTCCTCAGGGCTCAAAGTGAGGTTGAACATAATGGCAGGAGAGGATGGTAGAGGACAGCTGCTCACATCATGGTGACCAGGAGGCAGAGAGAGACTCCACTTGCCAAAATACAAATATATACCCAAAGCCATGCCCCAATTCCCACCTCTTCCAGCCACACCCTACCACCTCAGTTAATCCCACCAGGGATTAATTTACCAATTAGACTAATGCTATAACCCAATCATTTTCCTCCAAACCTTCTTGAATTGTCTCATGTGAGGTTTTTGGAGACACCTCACATCCAAACCATAACAAAGTTCTCTCCATTATGTAATACTACTCTCTTTAAAATGAAAATATTTTAAAAACATAACATTTTGGTCTCAGGTCTGGATCAATCTGGATTAAATGTATATAATATTTTCCAAAAATATGTATGTTTTATAATAAAATGAGCAAGAAATGAGTACGATCCTACTTCTAGCTCCGTTATTTGCTAGATTTTACTTATGTTAAGTTCAATACATTTATTTAAGCACATAGGAATGTGTCCTAGATATTAGGGAATTTTATAAATATATCCATCTCAGTCTTCGTACTCACATAATTCAAATTAAGTTATCTAAGTAAACAGAAGCAGATGTCTAAATAAATAAATGCAACAGGGATATTTTATATTTAAAATGTAAAATGCAATTACATTTTAATTGCATATTATTTATATTGCCTAGACATCAAGCCTCTTTGGGTCAGGGATCCTGTATTTTTTGTATTCCCAGCCCTAAGTACAATGTCTGGGACAGAGTAGATTCTTGATAAATATTTATGGAATGAGAAAATTAATGAAAAAAAAACAAATGTACAATGGAGATAGCTGAAGGAGGGATTACTTTCAATTTGCTTTGTTAAGAAAAGTTACATTTTATCAAAGGTATAGTGAGTTTTTAGAAAATCGACTTTAAAAAATTATTTGCATAACTATACTGAATATGTAAGGTAAATTCCTTATCATATTTGTGTCTGGAAACACCTCAGCATGATTAGAAGGACACATTTTGTCCCAGAGAGAGTGCTTTTGCATTGTTTTATTGAAGAAACAAAAAAAGGAGATAATCCCTTTCTAACAAAAAGATACTCTAAAAAATATGCCTGATTTAATTCCTTGAAGACCTGGTTCAAATCTCCCCTCAACTCCTTCATTTAAATCTGACCCCACTCTGAAAACTTCCACTGTATTAACTCAGTTGACTGTACCATGGATATTGCCCATGTAGGCCAGTTTTACCATTTTTAATCATGTAATTTACAGTCACTTTTTCTTTTTTTTTTTTTTAATTTTTTTTTTTTAATATTTATTTTTTAGTTTTCGGCGGACACAACATCTTTGTTTGTATGTGGTGCTGAGGATCGAACCCGGGCCGCACGCTTGCCAGGCGAGCGCGCTACCACTTGAGCCACATCCCCAGCCCTACAGTCACTTTTTCATCCAAAAATTTAGCAAGTGTAGAGTCAGCTACTGGGCTTACTGTATTTTGGAATCCATATCCAACTCAAAGGTAAACAGCCTCTATCATTTCTCTCCAGGCTCATTCCTTCCCCACTGGAACAAACACATTGTTCATCAGACATTCAATAAAATGCCTGCCATCTGACACACTGAACTGAAAGTACTTCCTCTCCCAGAGGAATTTAGTTACAGGGACAGCTGTTGACTTAGTTGGAGCCTAATGTAGACCCAAGTGATTTATTCACTTGAATACGGTTATACAAAGTACCAATGGAACAAAACCTAAGGAAGATACAGAAGCAAGGGAAAGTCACTTGGAATGCTCTGCCATCGGGTATCAGATCACCAGCAGTAAAGAGAATTCTCAAAATACCTGAATTTGAAAAGCCAGAGAGTTCTTGCAAGTTTTGGATACATGCTGCCAAGCTGCTGTTTTGGATATACTTTGAAGGAAAACATCTTTGGCAGCTGATTTAAATGTTTGTTCTTCAATTCAGAGTTCATATTTGATCTAAGGCCATGTTGAAATATGTATCCTTAATTGCAAACAAAGCTGTTAAAACACCCAGAATGGCCATAGGGACGTAGTCTTCAGAAGCAGGTCCAAAGGCTCATCTACAGGCAAAGCCCTGTGGCCACTTTGCAAAACCTTTAAAGCGTCAACTTCAACTCAAAACACATGGCAGCTTGGGGTATGAAAAGGAGGCTTTCACTTCCTGGAGGGAAGCCAGGCTTCTATTGGTAACACTGGGAAGTTCCGCCTGGGGAGAGATGTGTGGGGAAGGCACAGTGGCCTGTGTGAAACACATTGGTGGTCTGTCTCTTTTCTCATGGCTCCATGTATTCATGGTGGAAATTGTCCTTGCAGTTGGCATGAGCTGATATTTTATGTTGCCTAAAGACATTTAGAAACGGTTTCACCCACATCATTCAGACCTACACCCCTTTTGTGGGAGTCTGTTAGGGGCCAAGTAAGATCCACTAATTAAGTAAATACTAATAAAAATTTAATTCCTTAAGTGAATAGAACTTGCATCCACAACACTGTAAGTCTTAGATTATCCATAAAGATGAGAGAATGCAGTGTTCTAATTGGTTTACGTAAGATTTATATCCACTCCATAATAGACCACCAATTTTTTAAAAAATTAAATGACAATATACTCACCTCATATTAAATACCATACTGAGCAAAACCATTCCTGATTCAGGAGGCGCCTCAGAGTGTAAAGTGCCTCAGGGTCACCATTAAACATGCCGTTTTAAAGAGCTGTAGAAGAATAAACTCACTCCCCACAGACCCACCCTGGGATGTTCGCTTTTAAACAAATTCTTCGCATTAACTCAGTTACTTGTGATTTATTTCTTTCTCATAAAATGGAGCTCAGTGCATGAAAAAAGAAATCCTATTGGTTTGAATGTGGGAATCTGGATGTGGGAACTCAGATTCCCATATCCAAATATAACCAGCTTTTATCTATACATATTTTTGCATAGTTGAAATGACACTGCACAGAAAAACTATGTTCTTCTTACACTTAATTCTCATGATTGTTTTTACACAGCCTGAAACTCCTTTACTAACAAATTGTAATTGCTACATATTATCTTGAATACATTAATTGTAATATACTTGACCACTTTATATTTTTGAACATTTATTTTAAATTTTCTGCCAATTATCTCTAATAAATATTGTTGTGGTAATTAGGATATTAATCTTTGTCTGATCATTTCCTTAAATTGACTCCTTAGAAATGATTTATGACCAGTGTTTCTGAGATTTCTCTCTCTCTACCTCTCTATGTATTCGAATTATCCATGGGTTTGCCAATTTGTCATCAGCAGTACTTTTATGTGTTCATTTTACTCCCCAAAAGCACTGAAAGTTCATTTTATTACTTTTTTTCTTCATTTGAACTTTCAGTCGTACCTCTCACAGCTCTCCTGGATGGTTGTCTCACTCAACTTATGTGGTTGCCTGGTAAGTTCTTCTGAATGCAAACATTTAAAAAAACAAAAGTAAACAAACAAAAAGATATTATAAATATTCACATGTTCTGAGACTAAAGCTTCTTTACACAATTCTATATGATTTGGGAAGAAGGTTTTTATATAGATGGAACACACAATCTCCTGATTATCCTCTAAGTTTAAAACAAGTGGAGACCTGTTACGTATGCTTCATATTTTCTATAGAAGGGATATATAAAAATATATCTGAAAATCCACATTCCTTTTCAGATTATTATATTCAAATATGGTAAGATGAAAAGAGATGAAAAGTTTAGGGGAAAGTTTTAAGTATATATGTTTTCTATTTTCTTTGACCAGGTATCTCAATGAAGGGAAACTATGTTGAAACTGAAGAGGACATGGCTATCTATGTAGCTTCTTTGTTCCCTTCTGGATTTCCAAGTTTCCTAAATGGGACAGGGCTTCCAGGAAAAGCAACAAAGAAGATCTGAAAGCAGATGGTGGTAATGGTTGCACAGCAATGAAAATATGTTAACACCACAGAATGTACACTTAAAATTGGTTCCAATGGTAATTTTTATGTTATGTATTTTTTTGCCCCTCTTTCCCCCCAAAAGAGCAATAGAGCTTTCATTTTCTTTCCTATTCTTGGCCTCTTTGAGCCTCCTGCTGTCTGTTAACAACCCATATAATTCCACCCCAGCTCCACAGCTCAATGGCTGCTGGCGGGAGGGAGGAGAAGACTTCTACTTATCCAAGAAAGCTAATGGACTCAGAGCCCTTCTTTCAAATTAGCAGCTAGGTGAGTATATCCACGAACATAAATATATTTGAAAAAGAGAATATCAAAAGAATTGAGGCTGCTGCTACATTATCATTGATGACTGGGAGATAAGGGTGAGGATTGCCATTGGAGCCCCGTCTGTAGGTGAAGTCACTTCACTTTGAATGTGCCTTGCATTCCATAATGGCGAATTTCTGGAAGCCTAATACGTAATTGAAATTAATAAAATGAATCATCAAGAAATTTTGAAATATAAAATATGTTATTAACTGTGGTCACCATGGATATTTAAGTTAGCTGGACTAAATCTTTCTATAATGTATACATAGATCAAAACATTACATTGTACAGCACTAATATGAATAGTCAATTAAAAATAAAATAAATGACTCATTTTCACAGAAATAAAAAAAAAACAGTGATTATATTTTCTATTATATAAATAAAACAAATGGTATGAAAGAGGCTACAATTTAGAATTAAGTTTTTAATTAATTGATTACTCATTTTCTTGCTGTACTGGGGATTGAACAGAGGGGTGCTCTAACACTGAACTGCATCCCTAGTCCTTTTTATTTTTTATTTTGAGACAGGGTCTTGATAAGCTGTCCAGGATGGACTGCAATATGTGATCCTCCTGCCTCAGCCTCCCAAGTTACTGGGATTGCAAGTGTGCATCACAATGCCTGGTTTAGAACCCATTTTTTAGTGATATCTTTTAAACATAAAACCAGGCTTTTATTTATATATTTAATGCCCATCTTCCCTTCTACCCTCAAGAAGCTTTTAAGCTCAATTTACTTCTTGGCAGGAATTAAATGAAAATACAAGCAAGCAGATGTAAATAAAATGTTACAATAATTATAAGAATGTGTTAAAAATTAAGGAAAACATTTTAAGTATATGAAAAATTAAAAAATAAAGACAGTGAAAAAAATGTTTGCTTTTTTCCTTTCTCTTTTGTCTTTTTTTTTTAAAGATCAGAATAGCCAAGATGTGTTGAGCACTTTCTCTAAGGCAGGCACTATTCTGTGAGCTAGCTTGTATTAACTCTATACTTCTCACTTGGCCCTGCAGGTGTGACACCACTACTGTTCCATCTTACAGATGAAGAGACTGAAATCCAGAGAGTTTAGTGTTTGCCAAGGTTTGCAATTAGTTGCAATGCTCCTACTTGCTCCACTCTATTGCTTTTCCAGACTGCATCTAGAACTTTACTCTGTATTTAAGTTGACCGGAACCTGAAGGAGAAAAAAAAGATGTAGCTGAATTTGAACTATAAATAAAAGCATTTGCTGGATTTTGCAAGCCAATGACCTTAGTTCATATCTAAAGAAAATTTTAAAGAGAACTAGTTTATTTTCTTTTGACTCCCAAGTCTGGGTAGTTAACTAGAGATGTGTCTCCAGATTTTCCTCGTGGTTCAGATTGTTTCCTAGAGGAGTCGGTTGAAGCCCGATGGAGGGACAGTGAAGGAAATCTCTTGGCACTGCTGGGTCCAGTGACACCTCCCCCAGGGCTGCTGGGGACATGTTGACTTTTCCATCAGAATAGGCGCTGCTGGGATGACAGTGGGGAAAGTCTGATGTATAATCCGGGACTCCTCCTTCTCAGACTCCGATCATGAGAAAGGGCGAGCCCTTTACAGGCCTCTGCTTCTTCTTTAGCGATGGCCTTTGTTCTTTGTCCCACACTAGCCCCAGCAATCCTGTTCCTGGTAGAGACTTAGGGAGGACACAGGCAGGTCTTTAAACTCCTACTCACTGAAGTCAAGAAAGACAAGCCTGAAAGTGAAGGAGAGGGAGACCCTTCTGCAAATGTTTGGAGGCTGAGCTCACATCTGGCTGGGGAGTGGGGTGGGGGTTGATAACCTATCAGTGCTCTGCACTGCTCAGTTCAACCAGGGAGCAGGGGAAAGCAGCCAGTATCAGCTCCCCTCACCTTGGACGGAAAGGCACTGATGATCATATCCTCCACAAAGCTGGTGACTCAAGGGTTGCCAATAGTGACCAACTTATTTACTTCTTCTCTGAGTTTCCATCCTTAGGACTGCTTCCACATCCATAAAACAAAGCATCTTTATGCTCTATTTATTTCTGAAAAAACGTTCTGTGCTAATATGGAAAGTATGACTCCAGTGTGGACAGAATATGGCCAACTGCTACAGATTGCCGTTCTTTCCCCGTGGGAAGAGAATTGGGAGTAGATGGCACACAGCTGGAGACCCCCTTAAACACTGGAGGCCCCCAGTCCTCAACTTCTCTGTGTGACCAGAAACAAAACATTACACTTCCAGAGCTATAGGTTCTCATCTGGAAAATGGAATAACACTCCTAGGTCTGTTCTTTTCCCTGGCTGGTGCAAAAAGAAATGAAACAAGGTAAATAACACTATAAATAAAAGTGCTATGGAAATGGAAATGGACTTTCTTGGTAATAAGATAGTACCACCTTACTAAGATGATAAAGAGGAGTTCGGCCTATAACCAAACTAGAAAATGACTTCTCAGGGTGTTTCTAAATCTCATGTTCAGTGGCTTAGCAAATAAAGATAAATTATGCTATTGAATGCAGTAGACATTCACCCTCCATGAACCCCAGTACACATGTTTATATGTTTCATTTGGAAACTCATCACATGATGCTTAATGGAGTCATGCATTGCCATTTGTCTCTCTTATGTCTTTTTTTTTTTTTTTTTTTGTGGGAGGGTACCAGGAATTGAACTCAGGGGCACTGAGCCACTGAACCGCATCCCCAGCCCTATTTTGTATTTTATTTAGAGACAGGGTCTCACTGAGTTGCTTAGTGCCTTGCTTTTGCTGAAGCTGGCTTTGAACTCGCCATCCCCCTGCCTCAGCTCCAGAGCCACTGGAATTACAGTGTGCCATCATGCCTGGCTTTTATGTTATTTTAATGCATTCAAATATATATTTTATCTCTTCAACTAGACTGTGAATCCCTTTAAGACTATTTAATGTTCTTGTTGTGCGTATTAAATGAGAAAATGTGCTAGCATAATATGTAGCACAGAATAAGTACTCCATAAACAAAAGTCTTTATTTTCTTTCAGAGGACTTAACATGGACTTGAGTCTGGAGTATATTTAACAAGTTATCAACCTACCAATTCCAGTAAGAAATATCACACTGTGAAATATTGTTTGAAGATTCCCTGGAACAATAATCATATAGGACTTAAAAAGAGTCCTTCATGTCCTGTATCAAATGACATCCCCAATTGACAACATTATTTAGGATTCAAGAGTGGGGCCGTGATAATTGACAGAGGCTTTGGTATTAGAAAGTTTAGTTGAATGTCTTCTCCAACTCTTACTACACATATGGCCTTGGCCAAATTACATTACTCTTTCAACCCCAAAATGAGAATGATAATATCTACTTCAGGGATATGGAAAGAACTGAAGGGATCAATGTATGTGAAGAAGTGGCAGACAGCTAAGTAATAGTAGTTACTGCTATTTTTAGGAGCCCAACAATTTAGTATGTAGGACTGAATAGTCTACTATACTAGAAAGATACACATGTCCACAAAATTTCTTATCCTGCCAAGCCAATCTTCACACTTTAAGAATTAAGTATAGGGACTGGGGATATAGCTCAGCTGCTAGAGTGCTTGCCTCACATGCATAGGGCCTTGGATTTAATCCCTAGCACCACAAAAAATAAATAAATAAAGTTGCTGGTAATGGGTAAAAACCTTGAAATTGCTTTAAGTAAAAAACAAAATATTCATTAAATAATTTTTTAAAAAAAGAATTAAGTAGAAATGATAGCACATGTATCAACATATTTAATGCATATATTTCCTAGAAAAAATGTTTAAAATTCTAGAAAATGTATGTTTGGTTGTTAAGAAGCATACCTTTTCAGGCTTAAACTAAGATTGGATTAATGACTCAGAGAAATGAAAATGAAAACCACGATGAGATACCATGTCATATTCACTGGAAAGACCGTAATCAAACAAAGAAGCTTTAGTGAATATGTAGAGGAATTTGGAATCATCACATACAACTGATGGGAATGTAAAATGGTTCAACAATTTTTGAAAACAGTCTGGCAAAAGTTTGAGTAACCATTAGATTAATTATATGACCCAACAATTCCATTTTAGGGATATACTCAAGATAAATGGAAACATGTTCACATAAAACTTATACACAACATTCATAGCAGCATTGTTGATAACATTACCAAAGTGGAGATCACACAAATATCTGCCTACTAATGAAAGGTTAGATGAAAAGTCATATATCCATACAATGAATATTATTCAGCTGAGAAAAGGAATGAGGTATTGATAAATGCTACAGCATGGATGAACCTTGGGAATATGTCAAGTGAAAGAAGTTGATGACAAAACGTACATATTGTATAATGCCATTTTAATGAAAATGCACAAAACATCAAACTCATAGACAAAATAAGTTACTGGATGTCTAGGCTACAAGGTCTGGGGAAAGGTTGAGAGTGATTGCTAATGAGTAGAGTGTTTCTTTTTGGAGTGATGGAAATGTGGTGTTCGAACTCTATGAATATACTGAAGACCATTGAATTCTACATTTTAAATGAATCAGTTGTATGGTATGTGAATCATATCTCAATAATACTATTTTCAAAAAGATTTGATTAGTAATAATAGCTAGAAAGAACTAATTTGTTCACAAAAAGACAAAAACAGCCCAACAAAAATATCACTTAGAAAACCAGGAAAGATTATTTGAAGGGTTCTTTAAAGATATAAATACATCACTAAAATATAACTATTTGTCAATTGAATTTTTAAATGTGTTACAATATACTCAGAAAACTTTAGTTTTTGCATCCACGATGTTATTGAAATATTTTCTTATGATTGGCAACATGCCAAATTTTAGAAAATATACTTAAGCTAGAAAATCTAAGAAATATAATGAGCTCTCAAAAAAAGTGTCTTGTTATATAAGTCTTTGTCAAGAGAAATAGATGTATTTTACTTGAAATTAAAATATCTCTAAGATTCACATTTATTTCACGCAGAGTGCCCTTGTTCAACCTTTTCTCTTTTAAATTTGACCTCACATGGTAGAACACTGGCCTCCACATACTCCAGGCCCTGGGTTTAATCCTCACTCAGTACACAAAAGAGAAAAAAAATATGACCTGACATAATTTTATAGAATGTGACATACATACCTCGTAATACCTCATACTGTCAGGATTTGGTTCCAGTCTTATCTTTATAAAAATGTCCTTTAGGTCTGGGGCTGTGGCTCAGTGGTAGAGTACTTGCCTAACCCATGTGTGGCACTGGGTTTGAGCCTCAGCACCACATAATAAACAAACAAACCAATAAAATAAAGTTATTGTGTCCACCTACAACTTAAAATATAGTTTAAAAAGTCTTTTAAAAATATGACTATAAAATATTTAACAGCAGTAAAAAGTACATTTAAAAATATTTAAAGTTGAAGATAGATTTTAAATTAAACTAATTTTCAAAACAAAGATCACTAACAATAACCAAAGAAAGCTTCAAATTTTAAGATCTTGCCAAATGCAATACTGGTTTGAATGATCAAAAATTATTAGTTTCAAACACTTTCAGATTTCTTCTGCCCATCTCTTGTTCACCTTGTGGTATTCTAAAAAACAAATTAGAGGAAATAAATCATTTGTGCAAAGAATCTCGATTGATATTAAGAAGTATGTGTGTCATTCTCTCATTTCACAAAATGTCAAAGAAATTAATTTTTAACAATTTTTTGAGAATCATGTGATTTGAACACAATATTTATGCATTAAGTGTGTTTCATTTTTTTCAATTTATTTAGAAGCTGGGTTCGTGTGAGGGAGAAACCATGTTTAACTTTCATAAATGTTGCTAATTCTTATTTTCGATTAAGGACCATGGATCAAAGTGAATCAGCTAGTATGGATTTACATGGAGCGTTAGGAAACAGTTTGACTTTCAAAGAAGTGATACTTTATCAATTTAATCACAAAGTTTCCCTGGGGTCAACGAAGAGAGGAATTTTTGTTTTTCTTCCCACACAATAACTTGGTATACTTAAAAGTATTTGTGTAGGGCTGGGGATATGGCTCAAGCGGTAATACGCTCGCCTGGCATGCGTGCGGGGGCCCGGGTTCGATCCTCAGCACCACATACAAACAAAGATGTGTCCGCCGAAAAAACTAAAAATAAATATTAAAAAAAATTCTCTCTCTCTCTCTCCTCTCTCTTTTAAAAAAAAAAGTATTTGTGTAGGCAGAGTGGCACAGAACTCTGGAATTAATTCTGATTTTAAAAGGCAACATCTTCAGCAGCTTTCATTTCTAAGTGTTGATTAGAAGCCATTTTAATGTTTCAATTTAATTGAAGCTGAGCACTTATAAGGTGATGATGATGATGGGAAACATAAAAATATATTAGAAATAACTCAATTTCAAATTACTTGAATATAATGAAAATGCATTGACAATAAATAACATATTTTAAAATTACTATAATGCTATCCATACATCTTTTTAAGTCAAAAATCAACTTCTCAAAAATCTAACTGAAGCCTCCTTTTATACGTACCATCAAGAGAAACCAAATTGAAGTTCTTGAGTTATTTAAATAAAGTGACTTATAAATACCAAATGGAAATAAATTGAGAGTAGCTGCATTTATTTTAAGTACATAGAAAGCCCATAATTGTATATTAAATTTTCTCTAACAATAAAATATATGCCAGAGGCCAAGCAACATCATTGGAATGAATTCCTTTAATGGATGTACAGGTCTTGATGACAGTTATTTTCCAGGTCTAGGGTCTCACAATCACAACTCTGAAAGATTTTCTCCATGAAGTGTTTGAAGAAGTGGTAGACGTGTCGCTGATCCCTGAGGTCCATTCTTGGTCTCCCTTAAGGCAGAGGTGGGGCAAACAGGAGAGAAGAAAAGGTAATTCTGATAAGGAAATCTGAACCAAATGTTGTTGCATGCTAGAAATGATTAGATGCCCTTGTCATGAAGCTGTTACAGAGATCCAGGGGAAAGAGGTCAAGTGCAGGCACATGAGGTAAAAAAAAAAAAAAAAAATATGTTATATAGCAGAGGGAAAATGAGCCATTAGTCTAATCCTAAATCCCCTTTCCTTTTCCTTATTAAATATCCTTTGGCCTAGTGAAGGGAAGAATGGAGGTGGGTCTTGTTGCTATTTATTAACACCTATCAAGTTTAGGTTCACAATGTGGTTGTAATTAAAATAAAAACTTTAGCAAGAACATTCTGTTCCTTTCTTTTGAGAATTTTCAGATCATGGGGTTGAGGCTCTGCAATTAACCAGGCCCTCCTTATGCAATGCTTGCTTTTAAATGTCTACATCTCAACTGGGAGCAGGGGTGCGCACCTGCAATTTCAGAATCACAAGTTAGAGAACAGCCTGAACAACTTAGTGAGAATCTGCATCAAAATAAAATTTTAAAAGGGCTGGGGATGTAGCTCTGTGGCAGAGCACTTGCCTTGTATGAATGGAGGCTCTGAGTTCAATCACCAGTATCCTAAATAATAAATAATTAAAATAGAATGTTTAGGTCTTATGAGCACAGTAACTTTTTGGTGGGATACGTGACTTACACATTCATTCAGTTACTCGATATTAAGTACTTGCTAAATTCTAGAACTTCTTGTAGACAGTAAACAAATAAACAAAAATTTTTGCTGTCCCAGAGTTTATATTTTGTAGAAAAGACAGGCCTTGAAGTAAATCTGGTATCATGTTTCATTGATGTTTAATAAATATTTTTTTCACATTTTTTAAAAAGATATTTATTTATTCTAATTAGGTATATGTGACAGCAGAATGCATTTTGATCCATTGTACAAAATTGCAGCACAAATTTCATTTCTCTCATGTACAAGATGTAGCTTTGCACCATATGTGCAGTCACACATGTACCTAGGGTAACGATGTTCATCTCATTTCACCATCTTTCCTGCCCCCATGCCTCCTTCCCTCTCCTCCCCGCCCTTTGCTCAATCACAGTTCTTTCATTTTTCCCATCCCCCCCATCATAGATCATCATCCACTTATCAGAGACAACATTCAGTCTTTGGTTTTTTGGGATTGGCTTACTTCACTTAGCATGATATTCTCCAACTCTATCTATTTACCTGCAAATTCCATAATTTTATTCTCTTTTAATTCTGAGTAGTATTCCATTGTGTATATATACCAGTTTCTTTAACCATTCATCTATTGAAGGGCACCTAGGTTGGTTCCATTGTTTAGCTATTGTGAATTGAGCTGCTGTAAACATTGATGTGGCTGTGTTATTATAATATGCTGTTTTTAAGTCCTTTGGGTACAGACCAAGGAGAGGAATAGCTGGGTAAAATGGTGGTTCCATTCCAAGTTTTCTAAGGAATCTCCAATATTTGTATGTATTTTAAAATTGATGGTAATATTTCACTTGACATATATTCTTTATGGTGGTTCATAAACTACCAATAAACTTCAGTGATAACACTTAGGATTCAATTAAATGCAGTAGAATATTAGAAGGTAATATGTGCTTTCAGAGAGAAAGATTAGAGAGTGGAATATTGCAATTTTTAATAGTTGGGTCAGGGAGAGCATCACTGAGAATGTGTCATTTGAGCCCGGACTTGAAAGAGGAAGAAGCAAGCCACATGAAGCATTCCAGGCTACAGAAATCACATGCAAATTCCGAAAGAGGTGGACGCCAGTTCATGTTGTGAAAACTACAAGAGCAGCGTAGGTGCAGCTAAATGGGAGTGAGAGTAGTAGTAAGGATGAAATCCAAGAAGCAACAAGGAAGCCAGACTGCAAAGGGTCATGCCTACCATTGTAAGCACTTTGGCTTTTGCTCTGAATGAGATGGAAAGCCATGGAAGAGTTTTGAACAGCCATGACATTAATTATATTTAAAAGGTACAAAGCAACTCTTAATTGCTATGAGAAGGGATGGACTAAAGGAGAATGAGGAGGAGCAAAGAGACCAATGAGGACTCCATGGTGATAGTCCAAGTTATGGATGATACCAGCTACCCCCAAGGGTTTGCAATAAAATGAGAAGTAGTTAGATTCTGAGTGTATTTTGAAGATAAAACTAACAACATCAGTTTACGTTGGGTATGGGGTTTGAGAAACAGAGTCTTGGATGACTCCCAGGTTTTTGGCCTAAACAAACTATAATTAAGGCATTATCATTAATTATTCTAATTGTAATCAGAGGTCCTTCATACTGAGTCAGTAAGTTTCTAACTGAATCGGGAGTTGTTTGTGATCAAAACTAAATATTCAAAGCAGTAATGACTGTGAGTTCTGGTACTACAATACTTGAGTGTTCACCAAAGGCGGGTAAAGGAGAAAGCAAGGAAGGGCAGAAGGGGATTAATTTAACTTTACTGTACCTGTTTGTTTATGTATATCATCTCACTGAGCCCTAACACTCACCATACAGTGTCAATATTATTATTCAGGCTTTATAAGTAAGGTAGGTTAAGTGACTTGTCAAGGTCATATAAGGTCATAAAGCTATGGTTGTTCCCACAGAGATGAGAATTGTGTTCCTATGGAAGGGTGGTAATTTTTTTTTCTTTCTTTCTTTCTTTTTTTTTTTTTTTGGTAGCAGGGATTGAATCCAGAGGCACTTAATCAATAAGCCACATCTTCAGGCCTTTAATTTATTTTTTTAATTTTTGAGACAGGGTCTCACTAAGTTGCTGAGGGCCTCGCTAATTTGTTGAGGCCAGCTTTGAACTTGCAATCCTCTTGCCTCAGACTCCCAAACTGCTGGGATTATAGGCGTGCGACACTGAGCCAGGCTCTGGTTGTAATTCTTTAACTAGACTTTCAATCAGTGCCCCACTCTTTCAGATTCCCTTCAGCTTTCAATGCTGTCCTCCTTCCTTCTCCTAGAGGAATTGAGGGCTTTTTTTCTTTCTAAAGACCAATGAAAGGATATTTCAGTAGGTACCACATAGTATTGTTCTAAAAAGCCATCCTTTTGCCATTCTGTTTCAGTGTCCCAGAAGTCTCTCTCTCTCTCTCTCTCTCTCTCTCTCTCTCTCTCTCTCTCTCTCTCTCTCTCTCTCTTTCGATACTGGGGATCCCCAGCCCTAATTTTTTTTTTTTTTTGAGACAGGATCTCAGTGAGTTGCTTAGCGTCTCGCCATTTCTGAGGCTAACTTTGAACTTGCAACCCTCCCACCTCAGCCTCCAGAGCCACTGGCAGGGATTTCAGTCATGTGCCAACAATTTCAGTCATGCCCCACCCAGAAGTGTTTTCTATTTTACCAGCAGGGCTCTCAGCCCACCCAGGACACCAGCCTTTATCCAACACCCAGTCTCCCTTTCATATCCCTTCACATTCCTTCCCAGCCCCACCCCAAACTCTTCATCCTGATAGTGAAACCTCAGAACCTGAAGGTCTCTAACTACCTTTGCCCACAACACCATTAGATCCTCACACCAACATGATGCCACCTGCTCAAGGGCAGTTGTCACACAGGAAATCTTCATGCTTGATGCCCAGAACCCATGGCAAATCTCCCCTGGGCAGGTTTTCAGAGCCTTGGGTAACATGAAGAGTGTGGGCTTTGGTGTCAACTGGAACTTGGATCAGATGTAAGTTTTCTGATTCTTTCTGGCCCTGTGACTGACAACAAGATACCTAACTCTTTGGACTTCAACTTACATAAAATACTATAAGTATGTTATAGTATTGTGAGAATTAAGTGTGGCAGTGTTTGTATAGCCCCTTACGGAGACTCTGACAGAAGTGTTTCTGAAGGCATGTTTTACCGTTTCCTGGATCCCATCCCATGTAAATCAACAATCCCATACAAAGTAATTCATCAGCATCTGCAAGCTCCTGGATTTTGAGGGAGCTCCCCCAGAATCTTATATGCATTTTCAGATGCCGTTTTGTCTCCCTAAAAGCCAAGGCCAAGTGGTTTTCCCTGTATCTGTGGGCTCAACCCAGCCAGTATGGTGCAACTACACACAGGTAAATCTATGAACATGCAAAGTAGTAGGCAGTGCTGGATAGGTGCTAGAAACCACAAGAAAAGCACATCACATGAGGCCGGCCCTGCTGGTGATGCCCCCTCTTTTTTTCTCATCAGCCTTTTGACTCATGAGTTGGAAAGGACTTAAGAAATAAGCTGTTTCATTTGTTGTTTCTTAAAACTATTGTCAGTTACATGAGCTGCTATTTTGTATTATAAGATTATAAAAATAAATAGATTCCCTCCTCTCTCAATGCTGTTTGCATGTGGTTCGTTCACTGTTGCTATCTTTCATAAAGGTGACATTTTGGGGTCAATTCATTTCTTCTATGGCTCTTAGATAATTGGTACCCAAACCAAGGAAATGTGGAGCAGTGGCCTAGTACAGAGGTGTCCTCTCTGCCATCGCTGTACTGAGCACTGGTTACTATCTCTTTTTGCTGGAGGTGTTAGTTAACGAGGTGTCCCACAAGTACATTGGTCTTAATTTGTCTAAAACAAACATCCTTATATAATTTTATTTAATCCTTGTTGTCCAGCCTTCTTTTGCTTTAAAAGTCTTGTTATTAATTAGAGGTATGCTCTTACCAGAGCCCTAAGCTAAGACCACAATAAATCAAGATCCAGATCCTATAGATTTAAATGATTCTGTCTTTGACATATTTCTCTAAACTACTGCCTTCTCTTCATTTTTGCTCTTCATTTCTCACTCGGTGTCAGACTTGCAACTGCCCAGTCCAAGTCTCCCCATGCCCAGTCTTTCCCTTCTCCAACTACCTCAGTGACACAGGAATTAGTGTCCAAGCCCTGCATTTCTGCGCCCATCACTCAGTCAACACCCATCATTTCTCTGGAAATGTGTTGTCCAATTGTGTAATATGGTAGCCA